TAAAGACACGTCCGAAGAAGCCATTGTATGGCGAAACAAGTGTTGCGTTTTTGTAAAACTGTTTAGTGAAAATCTCACAAGATAGTGTTTTTTCATTATTCAACTTAACCATTTTGTTATAAATCTGATAACATGAATAACATTTGTGAATTAATCTTTATCGGATTTCAATTCTTCCTTAAGCATTCGTCCATGTTTCTCTAATCTTGCGACATTGGATTTTGGATAAAGTCACCAATTCACACACAATATTATAATTTTTCAGGATTTCTAGTGGACTTTGTATCATCGCCTGTAGTATCAGCTTTCACATCAGCATCAGCTATTACCATAGCTTCCACGCAGGTAAAGGGTCTACTTGGACTGAAGTTCGAAGCAGAAAACTTTTTCTCCATATGGATGAACATTTTCAAACACATTTCAAAGTATAAAGTGTGGGATGCCGTTTTAGGTTTGTTTTGCTGTGCCATACTACTGCTCATGAGGGTGAGTTTCAACAAATGTGTAATTGATAGAAATGAATCAAACCTAGAAATTGCAAAATATATTTGCATCTAGAATTGTGACATTGAGCTATAGTTTGAGTATATTTCAGCAAGAGTTTGAATACATTTAGGACCTTAGAACTTCAAAATTTATTAGATCACGACACTAAAAGTCTTACTCTTTAATAAGAGAACAAGAAAATATTTCATCTTCATCTCTTAACCCCAATATGATGTCTTTCATGGTTAATTATTTTTAGACTAAATGATGTGATTGAAAAAACTAACCTTCATTTGAACTACAAAAAATTATTGAATCATTTTTAAAATCTTGATTTTTTTTTGAAGTATGAGTCAATCTCATCAGCGACAGAATGTTCTATTAGATGGAACGTCATCAGAGAAGAGTTTCATTTGCTGTAGGGTCACACAAGGTTCCGTTTTGGGACCGGTGTTGTTTCTCATGTATGTCAATGACTCCGTCCATGTTGACATGAGTGGTAAATTCACATGTTTCGCTAACGACACAACTATCCTCTGGCATAGCAATACCGCCTCAAATTTACAGCAGGATGTCATGCAGTGATAGTTAATTCGCAATAGGAATATAATATGCACAGCTAGTTCCTTCACATTGTTTGGAAGCGTCTGTATAAATGCATGTGTACTCTGGAAATTTATTTATATTACTCTTCAGGATGCAATTGTTTAAACTTGGTTCATCACTATATACAGGGATTGTGATAGAGAAAGAAATTAGGGCATATTGAAAGTTTTTCATGTCATTTATGCTACTTTTATTCGGGTTTTCCATTATATTATGTATGTTTCTATATGCAGTACATAGCGGCGGGGATAGTTTTTTCTCCAATATTATATGGCAGAAATCTTAGCCGCACAAATGCAGAAGGCCGTCATTCTTGGCTCACTGCGCTTGCTCAGGACACATGATTCTCGGACCCAATGATCACTTACCTTATGTTGTGGGGAGTGGTCATTGTTTGATAATGCTGGCGCGCCCTCCCGAATGTATCGGGGCTTTAGGGGATAGGGACTGACCAGCGCACACTACGGTGAAAAAAAGATAATATCGTTTATTATGCATAAAAATTCATTTATACATAAAAGGAAAAGGGTTAGCCAAAGGCTATCTTCCACCCTTCCCAAAAATTATACAGTAAGTATAAGAAAATGATTATAAACATACTTATTTAGTATCATAACAATGATAGAGAAGAGAAAAAATAATACATCATCTAGTTGCTAATAACTCTTGATTTTCTTAACATTATTTTGGTCAATTTAACAATTTCATTGTACTACCGTACATTGAATTTTAAATCTTTT